GGCGATTTAGAACGGATAAGGACGTTATTTGAATGATTGGCCAAACGGTGAAGGCTAGAAGATTCTGGAATTCTAAATTTTAAATTTTCGAAGTGATGACGTAACATTTCTGAGAAATGTTAAAACGGCCATTTTGGCTAAAATAGCAGAAAGAAACAGAACAACTTTATCTGCGATTACGAACAGTACGAAAATCGAGACTAAAAAACAACAACGAACTACCGAACAGCAGAGGACGTTCCGAGTTGCAACTATTGTGCTGTTACAATAGTTGCAAGGCCGTTGCGAACAACGGTGAAGGGTAAAAACCAGCCCTCCGAGTTAGCGTGAACCTGAGGTTAAGGAGCTTGATTCGCCGGATTCAAGAATCCGGAAGGGTCTCGGGACGGGAACTTTTATGAACTTGTATTGAATTTTAGCATCCTGTCATGTCCTGACTTGAATTTAACTGATATTTTGATTAGTTTTGACAAGGATGAGGTGCTAGGAGTTGGGGGGAAAGGGTTGATCCATCTTCGATGGAGATGATGATTTTTATCAACTGAACAAAAACAATAGTAATATGATAAGTAGTAGCCCTGTTTTTAGGAGTGACCTCGTGGTCTGGGGATACAGAGACCCAGCCATGAGCTCACTAATTTTGCATGTAATTCAGTTAATTTGAGCGTTCTGGTCGAAGCCGGAGAACAGTAACGTTTTTGTCAGCCTGATGTAAGAAAGACCACCGAAAAGTACTGGCTTGGTAGAGACGGTGAAAAACATGCAAAGCTCTGTTTAGACGCTAGCCAGTCGTCTTAAGACTTAGTTTTGTTATCCGTCGATATGTATCTTCCGGGCGAATGTTACACAACCTAAACCCCGCCTTATCTCAGCATAATCGTGTAAAAAACACTAAAGAAATTAAATTCAGTACTCACATAGTGACGCGACTCTAGAATTAAATGAATGGTATAAGTAAAGTAATAATATAAGTCAAGCAACTCTAGAAGTTTTCTCCAAAATCAAGGTCAAACTTCCAAATGTGACCGACTGGCACATGTTTACTTCGAATTTTAACAACACTAATTTTTACAGAATGATCAAAAATCATAAGAAAAAGTGTCAAAAACATGATTCATATAAATAGTTTATCAAATTGTTACCTAACATCTGTTTCGCAATCAAATTCAAAATATCCCGCCAAATTTATTCAGAAAATTTTGTTATCCCATTTTCCTTGAAAAATACTACTACTACTACTACTAAAAGAATTTATTCCCTTTAAAATATAAAGGCATCAAACAAAAGAAATGGTATGATTATGTACACAAGACATCACGAACGGCAATTTATGCAATGGCAACAAAGTAGCATTGAACAAGAGTTGTTTAAGTTGAACATATCAATTCTATTTTTCAGATAGATTTTCAATTTTGCTTTGAAAATTTCAGGCGATGAGAAAATGTCGGCTATGTTGTTTGCTGAAATCATGTTGGCATACCGACAGACGCGATAGAAGAAAAATTGCTCTGTAAAGAAGAGTCGACAATTCTGGGTTGTTGAAAGCTTAGGGCGTGAGCTATTGCGAAGGTCTTTGGCTGCAAAGGTAAAATTTATGTATCTGTAAAGGTTGAAATCAAATTGATCAGTCAGGACTCAATTAAGAAAACACATATCATGTAAAGCTATAGTGAAGGAAATTGGCAAGGAATTCGTTTTTCTAAGTTGTTCTGTATAGTCGTTGACTCCCGTTACCCATTTCAAACATTTTCTGTTAAATAATTCTAGTTTGCGGCGATATGTTAAAGATGGAAACCAGACCTGACTACCGTATAATAAAATACTCACAATACATAGCTGGTAATATTTGAATTTGGTTCTCATGGATACTCCATAAGGGATTGAACGTTTCAAGAAATGGAAAGCTTTGTTAACTGCAACCAGTTTGGTTTTAATGTGGATGTCCCACTTTAAATCACTAGATATCGTTACTCCGAGATCTTTGATAGATGAAACTGACGGAATTGGGTAATCATTAAGGCAAAGTGTAGATTTGGGGGAAGTTGAGTTAAAACAAATAACTTTGCATTTATCAGAATTAAATGTCATTTCGTTTTCAAGCGTCCAATTGATAAATAGATCAATGTCTATTTGAACTAAGGAAAAGTCATATTTTGAATAGAGTTTGCTGTCATCAGCAAACAGAAAACATTTAGAGGTTTTCAAGACAGCTGGCATGTCATTAATGAAGAGTATAAATAGTAAAGGGCCGAGTACACTTCCTTGCGGAACACCACTTGTTACATGGCCTTTTGGAGATGCTTCATTGTTAATTAAGACATTTTGCGTGCGGTTTGTGAGATAGGAAGCAAAAAGTTCAAGAAAGCTAACGTCAAAGCCTAAATTACCAAGTTTCAAAATAAGTATATGATGAGGAACTTGATCAAAAGCCTTGCGAAAATCGAAGTACACAGAAAGACATTCGCTTTTTGCCTCGACGTCGTTATAAATCTGATCTAGGTATTCAAGAAGCTGAGTAACAGTCGATCGCTTGGTCATAAAACCATGTTGAGCAGGTGTAACTTTAGCCCGAATATTAGGATAAATGAAATCGAAGATCATTCTCTCCAGAACAATCGATAATTGAGGCAATATGCTAATCGGGCGATAATTTTCAACGTTTTCGGGATTACTAGATTTAAGAACTGGCGTAATAAACGCACATTTCCAAAGTTCTGGCCACGTTTTAGTTTCCAAAACCTTGACAAAGAGCTGCACGACTAGAGGAGATATTAATTCACTGCAGTAGTTAAGAATAAAGGTTGGGAGGCGGTCGTTGGTAATACAAGAAGTTTTAGCAAATTTGAGAGCTTTCTCGACCTTTTTAAGGTTGACATGGAGATCGGATAGAAAAATGGTGGGTTTTTCGGGTTGTAAGATTTGAATTTCATGCTTTTCTAGAAACACTGAACAGAAGTAATCGTTCAAAAGAATGGCTATTTCAATAGAAGTGGATGCTTTTCTATTCATCCAGTGCATTTGGTTTGGTAGTTTCCTTCTGGTAAAAGATCGAAGGTATTTAAAGCAATCACGGGTAGAATTTGGTCTTAAAGATTCAAGGAGACAAGTTTTATCCAATTCGATTGAATTGTTAAGGTCTTGTTGGATCGAAGCTAAATGATTTGTGTTGGCTGTCCGTTTAGATATGGAATGATGCTTATTCAGTAAATGAACTGTATGCGACGAATAATAATAGGGAAGTTGCTGGCGTCTTTTAGTTTTCTGTGCGCATGATGAAAGAATTGCATGATTGATCTGAGCGTACCAGCTATCTACATAATCATTAGTGGTGGATATGGAATAACATGAGTTTTGTTCCACAATGAGTTTGGTAAAGCAAGGGCTGATGTTAGTATTGAAGATCGAATGAGAAAAAGATGATTTAGATAGAGAGGTTTTCATAAAATTCCCACTCACAGTAGGCGCTGCTTCAGGAATGGTAAAAAAAGCAAATAAAGGAAAATGGTCTGAGTAAAGCACTTCATTTACAAATGCAGTGAACAATTCTGTGTGCGAAGTTAAAATGATATCAAGAGTGTTGCCTGAGCGATGTGTGGGTTCATATATAAGGGGCATTAAGCTATGATCCTCAATAACCTCTAGGAACAGTTTCGAGTAATCACAGCCACCATCAGAAGATGCCCAACAGATATCAGGCAGATTTAGGTCACCTAAGATTGTGTACGAACTAGAACCATTAATCAATTTGGAGTTAAAATAACGTATTGAATCAGTAAGCATTTTGGCAGGTATCCGAAACTGCGACGAAGCGGGGGGGTTGTAAATAAGGAGGAAAATATGATTAACTGCACCCGAATATATTGAAAGTCCGATGCAGTAATCTGCATCGTATGATAGAGTTGAATAATTTAGAGCAAAACTCCTTTTTGTAGCAATGAGAACACCTCCGTGTTCTCCAGAAGTGCGGTCTTTTCGAGCAATAACCGAATAGGGAGAATTCATAGGAATAATTTCGGGATCAGTAACTTCTGGTTTAAGCCATGTTTCAGTAATGAACACGATATCAGGAGAATGTAAAGAAAGAAAATTGATTAACTTCAGACGCTGATTTATGCTCAAGAGACTTTGTGCGTTGATAAGGCATAACTTTGATTGTAGTCAGTCAAGATTGATCTTGATACCATTTCGTTCGAGGGTCAGACCACGAATTTTTAGCTCATCGCGTGGAACTTTTTCATTGTTAATCATGTCATACCGTTTCTTGAAGATTTTACGTTTCAGAATCTGTTCTTCTTGGTTCAGGGACTTCGATATGAAAATCTTTTCTTTGAAATTCTTCAGTTTGTAAGATTTTGCCAGGCATTTTCTAGCATTCCATTCGGATGACAGACGAACAAGTAAAGGACGCGGTCTTCGTTGTTGGGGATTAGCTTTACCAAGTCTATACATTTGGCAGATACTGAGATTTTCTTCGCCTATATGATCAAAAATTTCGGCCACTTTGGCTTCTTCGGCCTCTATATTGGATGTAAACTGTCCGTTGTCTTCGCAGACCCCGTCGATGATTATCTCGTTTTCACATGTGTTGGCCCGGTGACTGTTATTAATACGACTATTAACCGGTTACTGCGTTTACCATGATAATTTTGATGATTTACTTCTAATTCAGATGTAAGACATGCCTGCCAGACGTGTTGTTAGTAAACTGAAGTCCCAAAAACTACTCGTTAAGTGCCGAAGCATGGTGGGAACAGGAACTACTTGTCTGAAAATCAGACCCCGAGACTCTGAAAAGCTAATTTGTGTCAGTTTTGATCCAGCTGTACAACGGAGTGTAATGTTCATTGAAGAAGAGAAAATACGGGGCCTGTAAAACAAAAACTTGAGTGTGAAAAATAAGCTATTAATTTTGATAAAAGCAAATTTTGATGGTCTAGTTTAAGATTGAAAAATGAAAAGACACCCCTAAGCTTTATTATAATCGAAATTCTTTCAGGATTGGATGATTTACTTTTCAATGGATGGAAGAAATTTCCTCCGATGAACTGAAAGGCATTGTAAAACTGGAGTGTCAAACATATCCTGGGAACTTAGAAGTGTCTGCTCTTCAAATCTCTATCAACCATAATTCTAGTGAGACAACATCGAATGCTAAACCAAGAGTTTCGGATATTGACCACGCAAACAGTCTTACTACTGTTCAAATAGATGGCGCACCACTGAAAAATGTGAACGAGCTGTATAACAACGACAAAAACCGCACCCGAAGCAAATCTCAAGAGTGGCTTCAAACATCTACGTGCTCAAAGCGCATCCCATTCAAATTGCCCCCAAAACCCAGTATGATGGTTGTTCACATTCTATCTATTGGATTCGTTTTAGCAGTGGCCTTTGTTATGAAAACTGGAACCAGTAAGTGCTTATCAATTCACATGTATCTGAAAAATAAATTTGGGCTATTTTGATAGTTAGACTATAGTTAGAGAAATTTTCAAGTCGGACTATCGTTTGTCTGCTTTTTGTCGGCTTAATTTTCAATGTATGGATTTTTTCTGATTTAAGTAACTTGCATCATAAATGAATGTCGTTCTTTTACTTGCAAAAATACGAATCCTGATTTTTAATACGTTCCGGTGTATGTTATATCGCCCTAGTCACTTTTTTGACGTTTGAAGCGGTAAAAATTGTTTGGTATGTTTCAAGAGGGTTAGGCTGTTTTAAGTTATAAAACGATTACCTTTTTTATGACAATTTATCTATATCTATCTATCTATATCTTTCTATATCTATCTCTCTATATCTATACTATATTTAAATCTATACTATATTTAAATGCTAGTGACAGCTATCTCCCATGTTTAAGCGTAATTATTTTGCATGTTTAACGAAAGATTTTTTCATGTTTAAGCTATAACATATATTGCAATGCTTAAGAAAATGTTTCAATTAGTTTTCCGCAAGGTCATTATTCTTTCAGTATTTTTTTCGAGGTCTGTTTACCTGCTTTTTAAATTAATTTGATAATGTCTGTCTAACTGTCTCCTATTTTTTCAACTTTCAATTTGGTTTTGACGATTCAGTTCAAAATAGTACAACTGTCAAACGGTTGTCTCCAATCTTTCTTTCTCTTCATCTTTATCTGGATTTTCTATCTTTTCTGTCTTTTTTTTTCGATCCTTCTTTTTCGATCTTTTTTTACCCTTCTTTTTTGATCTTTTTTCTGTCTTTTTAAAATCTTTTCTATCTTTCTTTTTCTTTCTTTGTTTTCGATGTTTCTATCTTTTTATCTATATTTTTTCTTTTTTTAATCTGTTATTTCGATCCTTCTTTTTCGATCTTTTTTTCTCTATCTTTACTCTATATTGCAATGGTTAAAATTTTTTTTTTCAATTTTTCCAAATTGAATTAAGTTGTTATTCAAGCGAGTTTTAAAAAGCAGCCCAATAGTGGATTCTGACAGGGTTCACAAAGTGGCTATGAACTTGGCGTCTAATTAAAATTGCTCAAATCTTTTTAGTTTACGAGATACGACGATTTTTTTTTCAAAGATTTTCAGAAAACTTAATTCACTAAAAAATTACAACTTGAAGGTCCCAACCCTGTAACTGGGTGCTGTCACAGTACTCTCAAGGGTTGTGAATCTTGCCTCCAAATGAGACACTCAAGTCCTTGTAGTTTTCGAGATATGACGTTTTTTTGTGATTTTTTGCGAACCATGCGTACTACTTCAACTGCAAATCCCCGAAGATTTCGAGATAAGACGTTTTTTGTGACTTTTGCAAAAAATTTGAACTAATTTGTTTTCAAATTTTTAAAAAACCTTACCCTGTAGATATGTGCTGTCAAAGTACTGTCAGTGATTGCGATTCTCGCCTCTAAATATGACTGCTCAATTCCTTGTAATTTTTGAGAGATGACGTTTCTTAACATTTTTTTCCCTTCAAAATTGAATATCTCAACACTGGGGGCTTTCAGAGTTCGCTCAAGGGGTTGCAAACCTTGCCTCAAATTATGAGTGCTCAAATTCCTGTAGTTTTCGATATATGACGTTTTTTGTGATTTTTTTCAAAAAACGAATTATTTTTTCAAAATATGAAATTCCTTACCCTGTAGTTGGATGCTGTCAGGGTACTCTCGAGAGTTGCGAATCTTGCCTCTAAATATGACTGCTCAATATCTGGTAGTTTTTGAGATATGAGCTTTTTTGTAATTTTTAAAAAAATTTCAGAAAACTCACACATTTTTTTTCAAAATTTGAAATTATCAACCCTGTACTCGGGGGCTATCAGAAAACTCTCACGGGTTGGGAACCTGGCGTCCAATTATGGCTGCTCCAATTTTTGTAGTTTTCCAGATTTGACGTTTTGGTGGGTTTTTCAGAGTTTTCCAGAAAACTCAACTTTGATTTTTTTAAAATGTGAAATTCCTAACCCTGAGTTTGGGTGCTGTTTGGGTACTCATAGGGGTTGCGAATCTTGCCTCAAAATATGACTGCTCAAATCCTTGTAGTTTTCGAGATTAGAGTTTTTAATGATATTTCCAAAATTTTCAGTTAACTTAGGTTTAGAAAAATTCATTAAATTGAAATATCCCAACCCTGTAATTGGGCGCTGCCAGGGTACTCCCAGGAGTTGTAAATCTTGCATCCAACTATGACTACTCATATATTTGTACTTTTCGAGATTTGACGTTTTCGAGATGACGGAAAATAAGATTTAATTTTTTTATTGAATATGAAATAACCAACCATGTAATTGGGTGCTGTCAGAGTACACTAAAAGCCTGCAGATCTGGTTTCGAATATATGCGGTTTTTCACGAGGTGTCAAAAATTCGAAGCACTGGAGGTGCGTTACACGCTAGTTTTTCATGAACTTTTATTTTCCTCTGGACAGTCGCCTAACGCAAATTTTTCCGTCGAAGTGGCTGCATATTAGGAGTCGATAAACGTAGGGAAGTCTCTTATATAGGGCGTTTTCATTTTTGCTGGAAAAATCTTAAAATTTGTTCAGACTCAGTCAATTTTTTGCGGTTTGACCTCTGATTTCGTTTTAAGTCCAGTTCGTTTCAGATATCAATTATGTGTCGCAAAATCGCATCCAAATTACGACATTTTCTGTCTCTCTGAGACATTGCTAGTTGACGAAGTTCCAAATGACGCCTTATTTTTGAACAATTACTAAATAATACGCTCGGACAGAAAATCAATAAATGAAAAGACAAAACACGGAGGTGTTTTGATCGCAATAAGAAAAAATGGATTGAGTTTTTCGGTGATTGACAGCAAATAAAACGAATGCCTTATCATAAAAATCGAAACTAAAAAACTTCAGTTTTATTTTATGTTGCTTATATAACCCGCCAAAAGAAAGTAAATACCGATGGTCAATATTATGTTTTCAGAAACTGTGTCGTTATCTACAAAAAATGCAAAAAGACCAAAAATGTGACTTTACAATGATAACTGGCGACATAAATTTTTCAAACACAGACTGGAAAACAATGCACTCTGAAGATAACTATTAATCTGCCTTACTTGGTCTGTTATTTGAAAAAAAATTTGAACAGATTATGGAGTCAGATAACAAAATAAAATTGGATGTTATGCTTAATAGCTGTTTTAGCAAGGAAATACAAAAGCCGCCAATTCATTACGCTTGAAACAAAATTAACTGGAAAGAAATGATTCAAAAATTAAAAGCAGAGCCTTTTAACCCATATTGCTACAGTAACGTTGACAAAATTGTAGAACATTGTTACGATAGGTTAAATTCTTTTATGGAAACGCATTGTCCTCGTGTAACAATACAGCCAAAAAGCAAACATCCCAAAAACGCGAGAAGATTGAAATGCTCGAGTCGGAATACTAAACTTCAGCTGAAATTGATTTAGCAAGTTTCGAAGAAAGTATTTTCGCCAGTCGGAAATTCAGTGAATTGAACAAATGTTTCAGGAGTTTAAGGAAATCTGAGTGTTTACCGGATCGAATGTATTTTGGCGATGAAGTAGCTAAATCTGAAGTCGAAAAAGCTGAACTTCTCAATAATTTTTTCCAAAGTGTGTTCCACATGGAAGTCCATGATACGCTAGACCGAAATATAAACGAAACCGTTTGCACTATTAACAAAATTAAGTTAACTGAGATCCAAATTTCAAATGTACTAACGTTGCTTGATCCCAAAAAAGCATGTGGTCCTGGAAAAATAGGAAACGAAATATGTGCTTTTATTTAGGCTTCGAAAAAGCGTTTGACAAAGTGTCACATAATATTTTGTTACGAAAATTGCAAAATCTGAGTATTGGGGGAAATTTTTTGGCCATAATGGAACGCTACTTAAATGACCGAAAGCAGTATGTCAAAATTGGGCAATCAAATTCAACAATGCTTGACGTAACCAGTGGTGTACCTCAGGGTTCGCTATTGGGACCACTTATGTTCATCATATATATTAACGACATAACTGAAAATGTTCACTCATTTGCCCTATGATATGCAGATGATTACAAATTTCCTAGCACTAACAATGAAATGGTTCAGGGTGACATCAGTCAACTTCAAATTTGGTGCGAACAAAATCTTTTCTCTTAATGCTGATAAGTGTAATATGCTGAACTTTAAAGGCAAACAGAAAACGGAATTTTGAGGAAAAGAAACGAAATCTGAAGGAAATCAGAAAGATCTAGGACTAATCGTCACACAGAAATTGTCTTGGCTGGAAAATGCAAAAAGACGAGGAGCGAAGGCGACAAAAGAGCTATTTTTTGTGAAAAGAAATGTTACATCCAAAACAAGCATCAGCAAAAATCATTTGTTACACTGGGTACGTAGTTCCCATTCTGACTTATGGCTCACAAGCGGTATATTATAACAAGTCAGTTGAAAATCATTGAAAAAGTGAAATCGAGAGCAATGTCTTGGATATATGGTTACAATTCTTCATATGTCACAAAATTGAAAACAGCTAATCTACTGCCAGTGTCCATATATATGGAGTTGCGCGACGTATTGCTCTTCTGGAAAACTAACTGCGGTAATTACGAAATAGCAGCGGCTCAATATGTAAGTTGGAACACGAATCAAACAACCCGACAAGGAAATAACAACGAATTCGAAGTGCCAAAATATCGATTATGCAAAAGTGATGAAAATTTCTGGAAAAGAGCAGCTTTGCTGTATAACATTTTCTCAAAAAAAATTGACTTTAGCGACGCAACAAAGCTGAAACAAAATCTAACACGAGTATATTGGAATTACGTGGAAACGCAGTACAAAAGAACTAGTTCCGTGCACTTGGCGCATCCTCTGCCTCTGCCGACAACGCAATCCAGCTGGAAAACTCATTTAACTGATCAGTGAGGGGTCACACACGTGGGTCTACCCAGAAGCCTATCCTACTACTATAGCAAGGGGGTAAAAATCTCAAAAAATGTGATCGATTTAGTTTTGAAAATGGATTTTAATTTTGAGATTTCTGAGTGGAATAAAATGTTAACCTATTGAACCAGTTTTTTGGCATTGGGTTAATTTTATTACCCTTGCGATAAGCAGGGTATTGCAATAGGGTACTAGAAGGTCTTTTCCCGGAAATAACTTTGTTCACAGGACTCATATGATGGACTTTCCGCCATTCTGTTGTAACAGACTGCGTCTTTCTATTGCTACAGACATATTTTGAGCATGTTAGCAGTTTAAATGAATGCTAGCAGTTTCTATTTATGTTTACTTTTGTGATAGCAATCGGGTATTGCAATCGGGTTTTAGGTTTTTTTCCGTGAACAACTTTGTCTACAGATTTCAGCATGCATGCAAAACACGACATGGATGCTGTGTGTGCGTATATTTTTGCGCTCATGGGTCTATTACTCTCACTGTGCATCCTTCTTAGTGTTTTTCAATAAATTCGCAGTTCAAATTTTTTGAATATTTTTTCTTGGGTATTTTTTGAATTTTCGACTTTGTCGCTTTCGTTTTTTTTTCTCGGCTTAGTTTCTGCTTTGTTTTTACCATCCAACCAAATCGCTTTTTTGAATTTTTTTTTACATTATAGTTGCCTTAGTGTTCTGATTTATCTCTGCTGTTTGTTTGTATTTTTTAAAAAGTTTGACACCTTACATATTTTTTTTGGTGTTGTTTCGATTAAAAACTATTCTGATCAAGTGATTTTGGCCTATATTTTATTGACTTAATGACCCTACATCGAATCGTTTCAATGGATTGCACAAATTGCTAAACATCTTAATAGAAATATAATTCAAATGTTTCATGACAGCAATTTTGTTATAGCCTTTTTTCTTTTGTTTCGGCTTGAGGTTTCGGCCTATATTATAGCGGCTTATCGGCCTCATATTCCGTTTTTGACGTGCGAAAAAAGTGTATTTGCGTATGTGTTTTGAGGGCGAGGGAGGCTTGATAACTTATTAGTCTTAACTTTTTAAAAAAAAATTTTGGGGCTGAAAAGGTTTCGGCTATATTATATCGGCCTAGTTGTCTCATTTTGTTTTATTTGACCAGCAAACCATTTTTTTGAGTTTATTGAGGGCGAGGGGGACTTTTCTTAAGTCTTAAGCTTTGTTCATTTTTTTCAGCTCATAATATTTCTGCCAAGGTATTTGTTACCGCGTGGTAAGTTATGGTCCGATGCTAATTTCAAAATTATGTTCGGATGCTAATTTCACATTCTTTTTGTCTTGGAATGTTTTTGTGTCAAAACTAGACTTATTGATTATGATAGATATAGTTTTTCGACATTTGCGATTTTTAAAAATAAAAAGTTTTGTTGTATCGCAAGTAGTGCGAAGCTCAACTTCGCATCTGTGTTCTTTTTTCTAATTTAATTTTGTAGATCGGAATTTTTTCAGCATTGTATATCTAAATGTTCAATTCAAATTTCTAAGCGTCTCCGGCACACTTAGTCTGGAGGTAACGAATACACCTGGGGCAGAAAAGGTTCTGGCTTCGAATCTGACTAGGACCTGTTTTTTTCAAACAGGAATGTCTCCGTTTCATAAAAAAACTAGCGTGCAACGCACCTCTGGTGCTTCAAACAAATTACTTAACATGAAAACAGCTTGTATCTAAAATAAATGAAAAAAAAAATCAAGGAAAGGAATGCAACAGTAAGAAGAGACGGGTGCATCCAACAACGTTTTTCATTTGAAAATTTCAACTGAATGTTTTTGAACTAAAATCGTCAAATCTCTGAAGCTACTGGGTTTCAGAATGGCTGACAACATAGAGCTGATAGATCAATGAAAAATTTCGAAATATCGTAATGGAAACTTGAACAATTCGAGCAATAAAATTGGGGTGTAGGATGCTGGTAGTAGCCTGACTTCGCCCTACCAATGCGTCGAATACTTCAAATTTCGAAAAAAAAATTGGAACTTGAAAGAAATTTTTTAAAGAAAAACATGGAAAATGAATCATAATACATATCTAGGAAAATGAAACGCATCTTCCGAGTCCAATGCATCTTCAGAGTCATCTTCAGAGGCCATTTAAATACTTTCTGAGAGTCCCTCGACTGCACCTCATCATAATTTTGAGAAGTTCAAACTTTGTGTAGTTTTTTTGAAGAAAAATTTTGATAAGTTTTGAAAAATTATAAAAATGGCATATCTCGCAAACAAAGATGAGAAAAGCAGTCAAAACGTGAAGAACAGAATTGAAACCTCTGAAAGTATCTTGAAACCTCAGTATATTGAAACCTCTTGAAACTTAAAATATTTTTGAAAAAACGTCTTGGAAACTAAAATGATTTCAGCAGTCACATTTGGAGGAACGATTTTCAAGGCCTAAGAGTACCCTGATAGAAATTGACACTGTTTAGTTGATAATATCAAATTTGGCTGGTTTTTTTAATCTAAGTTATGCGAGAAAAACTTTTTAAAAAAGGCTTAAAAAAACGTCATACTTCGGTAAGTAAAAGGATCTGAGCAGTCATATTTTGAGGCAAGATTTGGAAACCTTGAGAGTACCCTGGCAGCACCTAATGATTTAGCTGAGATCGTCAAATCGCGGAAACTAAAACAATTTGAGCAATCACATTTGGATGCACAACCTGCAATGCCTGAAATTACCTTGAGAGCAGCTCATACCATAGAGTTGAAAAATTTCAATTTTTGTCAAGTTGTTATATATAAGTTCTTAGAAAATTTTTGAAAAAATCATAAAAAATGTCATATCTCGCAAACTAAAAGGATTTGAGCAGTCAGATTTTGAAGCAAGAGTTGCAACCCCTGAGAGAAGTTTGACAGAGCCCAACTACAGAGTTGAGAATTTCAATTTTTGGGGAATTTTTAATTATGAGTTTTATGAAAATTTTCAAAAAAATCACAAGAATTTTTGTATCTCGCAAACTAAAAAGATTTGGGTACTCATATTTGGAGGCATAATTTGCAAACCCAAGGATGACCCTGACAGCATCCCATTTTTGGGTCGCTGATTTCAAACTTGACGAAAAAAAAAACAGAATTCAAGCTGGAAAATAGGAAAAAAATTGTAACCATTGCAATATACGATATAGCTTTAACGTGCAAAAACTTTTGCGTTAAACATGCAAAAATAATACGTTGAAAAAGCTTAAACATGGCGAGATAAATATATAATAGATTGTCCGCCTACTAGATTGTCGTCTTATTTTTGTCGGCTTAGTTCAGCAGAAATTATATGTTATAAAAGTTTGGCTTCTTCTTGCATTCTGAAAGCTCATTGTAAAGTTTCTAATGGTGCAGGTAATTTTGTTTCGGATATTTTGTACTTTTGTTACAATTCTTTAATTTTTTTTTGACAAAAAATATGATACTTGAAGGTTTTTCTTTCAATTATTTTTTTTTGTTTTTCTCATGATTTTTTTTCTTAGTCATTTATGATTGTATCGCAAGTGGCGCGAAGTGAAGCTCGGCTTCACCTGTGTCAAAAAAGTATGAATCATAGATTGTTCGCGAAAATTCAAAAAAACTTTAAAGCGCCATCTATTTTTGAAGTACGAAAATTAGCTTGTTTCTTTGAAATTCGAAAAAGTGAGTATTTTTTCTTTTTTGTTTTCTTACGTTTTCTGTTGGCTATGTTTCAATGCTGCAGATCGTGTTTCGCAACTGTGTTTTCACGAATTTGAACATCAATTATTTACCGGCTTTTTATTGTTTGTAAGAACGGTAAAATTGATTATTATCAAATATAATTTAGGTCGGTTAAGGTGTAACAGTTCGAAGCTATAAAAATTAACCTCTCAAAATTTTAATCACAATTTTCACGTGTCATTTTTTTTTGGGTAAATCAACATCTGCCCACGTCTTCGGTTTAGTGGTCGATCGTTAAATATTAAAAGCCTATTTTATGACAGTGGCTGTTTTGAAAGTGAAGTTTTCAAGTTTTCAAAAATTTTGTTTTCAATTATATTTCTATCTATAATTTGTAGCGTAAATTATCAGAAGCTCTGCTTCGCCTCTGGTTGAGTCTATTTGATAACAAAATTTTTGCAAGAAACCCTATTTCTATCTTTCACAAATGATACCGTCGCTTGTGCTTCGAGTTTGTCAAATGAGTTTTTATGATTTAAAGAAATAACGGAAAAAGTCGATCGTGAATAGTCTTAATAAAAAAGAAATAACGGAAAAAGTCGATCGTGAATAGTCTTAATAAACTTTGCAGTTTTTCTAATAGCATTTCTGAGTATTATTTTTTCAAAATTTGTTTTTTCTTATAGCATGTTTCCTTATATCGCTATACTGCAAAGTTGTACTCATATGAGGTGATTCATTTTCTAACAGTTTCACTTCAAAATTTTCTGAATCAAATTTGGGTGTATTTGTATTGAATGCATTTAATTTGTGTGCGCTTCTATGAAATAATTTATAGGGGAGGGGACATACTCAAGAGGAGGAATGTTTCAATAGGTCAAGGAGGGAAGGGCGAGATTTTACGCATGATCCGATTGTTTTTGTTAAAACTTCAACTACGGCCGATATATTGATCCTAATCGTCTTTTCTTCACGCCACGGTAAAAACATTTCATATCACCTGTTTGAACTTCAGAAGAGAAGTACGCTCGTTAATAATGTGTGTTTCTATTCGTGAAAAGTCCAGCATCATTTTCGTTAATTTGTCAAGATTTGTTTTCTGTTTCAGGTCTCTTTTCATGGCACCCCTTCTTCATGAGTCTCGGAGTAAGTTCACTTATTTTATATTGATTTGATTGGCTTGCATGAATGACATTGCGGTTTTTTGAAACTAGAGAGTGTACATAGTGTACAATAAGCTGATGTAGTTTTTCGAAAAATTAGATTAAGAATTACAGCGTCTACATAATTTGAAAGTCATTGTATGCGGATACATCAATATAGACATAAGAAAACAAAACAAGGCTTCATTGGAATACATCGATGCAATAGAGTCGAATGATTTCGATATTATAAGCTCTGCTCCCACAAGAGTTGAAAATAATTCAGAAACTGGTTTGGATCTTTTTATCCCAGATAATCTGATAAATTCTACTCTAAGTGTATTAACCCACAAGAATTTTACAGATCATTGTCCTGTGCTTGTCAAGTTCAGCAATTGCAGCTCTAGTAGCGGAAACGAAACGGCCTCAATAAGAGATACATCTTTTTTTTGCGAGTACCCGGAGAAGTTCAGAACTTCAACTTCCTCTTATTGCATGAAATGGTCAAATTAGCAATAAAAGAAAGTGAAGATATAAGTAATATCTTCTCTCATTTACACGCTCATTTTGCGCCGTTGTTTGAAAAGAATTTAAAAAATTGCTAATTGTCCACCATGGCTATCCAATAAAATAGAAAATCTGATCACAAAAAGAAATAATCAAAACTGTTCATTGACTGGAAAGAAATTGTATCAATCGTTGAAAGAGCGGTTTAAGTTACTAAGAGATACAGTAAGTAGAGAAATCAGGTGCTCGAAGCGAAGTTACTATATGACAAAATTTAGTAATTAACTTGTTAAAAGGAATGAAAACGCACAGCGGTGCTGTCGGTGATATCATAGCAGAAGACGGCGAAAAGCATACTGACTCAGTTACAATTGCAAGTAGTTTCAACAATTTTTTTGCGCAAATTGCACATAAATTGCTGAAAAATACTTCGCCACCTCCACTAGAATTAAAAACTACGGAGCCTTGCTTCTCATTATATGTAAAGCCGATGACTGCATATGAATTTGAAATTACCATATTTTTGTTGAAATCAAAAGCCTCATCAGAGCTAGATATAAGCAATAATATTTTAAAAGCCCGTGCGTACTCAATTGTACCAAGTTTAACAATTCTGATCCAAGCTTCCATCAAGCAAGCTACATATCCAACCGAACTTGCCAAAGCTAAAATCATACCATTCCACAAAGACGGATCCAAGATATGAATAATTACAGGCCAATAGCTTTTTTAATGACTTAAAAAATCGAACGGGTACGGTTCAACAGCATTTATGTTAAATTTAATTTATTTTAATTTAATTCAATTTAATTTGTAAATAATTTAGATATAGAGTGAAACAAAGCACTATTGATGCTAAAGCTGAAGTAAAAGAAAAATTCTTTCAAATCAAAAAGTAGTACCATCCGTTTTTCTTGATCTCAAAAAATCATGAAATTTTAGAAAAGAAGTATTTTGGACTAGTTGGTAACTGTCACCAATGGATTCGAAGTTTTTTTAACGAATCGCGAGCGATGCGTTGAATTATTTGGTGTAAGGTTCGATTTGAGAAGTGTAGACTGCAACGTACCGCAAGGATCCATTTTAGGTCCACTTCTCTTTCTTTTATATGTTGATGATATGCCGAGCATCGTCAAAAAGTCAAATGTGCGTTTGTATGCTGATGTTTGCGACCCATCGATCAATTGAATGATGATTTTAATGCTGTTGCTCAGTGGCTTGCTGCTAATGATTTTCACTTAATACTAAAAAAAGATACAAATTAATTTTACTAGGAAAAGCGCTTCTTATGACCAATTTCGTGTTAAGATGCTAAATTAAAATACGAAATTTATTGGAAATATTCAGCAAAAAAAACATTGATAACAAATTAAGATTCTCTTTTTACATTGATTATTTTAGAAACAAGCTACGAAGACAGTGTGGAATAATTGCGAAGATAAGGCATTACGTGTATAGCTCTTCTATGTTTACTTATAAAGAATCAAACATTAGGTCTATTATCCAGTGCGGAATCTTATTGTATGGTTGCACAAGCTCCACTGCTTTACAACCGCTTTGTGTTTTACAGTAAGGGTAATCCGGCTGATTTCTTTTTGAAAAAATTACGAAAGCGTTTCTGATTTACCTTCAGAACAAAAAGTTAAGACAGTACATTAACTGTTCATATACGAAATGAGTTTTTCACTGAGATCGCTATCAAATTTTCATTCAGAAATATTTCTTTTTGAGCTGTTCTCTTTCAATAATTCTATAAGAAAAACTACAAGATCTGAAAATAAAGTAAATTCACAGTTAGAAAACCACTCTTTTAACTTATCGGGGAACAAACTTTTTCGTTAATATTCTAGGAAATAGGATTATGCCAATTAATTCTCAGTCATTAGTTACAAAACAAGTACTCTCCGTTGCCCACAAGATGAAATTTTTGTACATCTCATGAAATCACGAGCTAACAAAATCATTTTTTGGTTAATTTTCTCGAGACGACAACTTAGTTTTATGATATTTTTTCACTCTTAACTATCAAAATCCAAAGTTAACTTCAACCAGGCCATGATTCAGAGGTCCAAGTTTGCCCACAAAAAAATGACGTTCCAATTTTCCGTAGGATTCGAGAAATTGCGATTTTTTCAAAATTTTAGTTTTTTCGATAAAAACAGAAAAAAAACATTTTTAAACTATTTTTTTGAAAATATGAATATTATCTATAAATTGCGTACAATATTTCCAGTTGCCCATAGGAATAATAGTTAGTTAATTGTTTTTTTTTCTTAAATTAAAAAAAGTTAATATATTCAACAAAATTTTTTTTAAAGTAGTTTATCTATTGTTAATAAACCAAACATTGGTAGATTCTCATTAGACAAGCTTGTCTGTTGTCTATTCTCTCCATTTTGTGTATGTGTTTATTTTGATTGATGTTGCAAATTGAAATAAATTCACAATTATGGAGAAATAAATCCTTTCTTTCTTTCTGTATAAGGTTCACTGCTAATTGTTTGGAAAGAGCGTTCTACAAATTCAATATGTTATATTTACATAAAGAGCGTAGTGTCATATTACGATCTCGACTTTTGTTCCAGCCTCAGTCGCAAATAAAAGTTCTCTTTTTGATGTTTAAGAATAACGAATGTAGTGAAGACTCTTGTATAGGTCTTGCTGATTTTTTTTTGTTTTTTTTTTTTCAGGAAAAAGTAGTAAAATATTGATGCACTTAGGTATAATGCACTTTTTGAGTTCAATTGAAATTCGTCTGCTGAAATTGACGTAAATAGCACTCTCCAAATACGAACGTGGAAATGGTTCTAGGTTCGAAAGTGGAATTTATTTCTTAGATTTCCCGCGGAATAAAAACTTTACCGTTGATCCAGTTTTCTCAAATTGGGTTAAATTTATGAAAAAAAAACGCCAATGATGAATCGTTCTAGTAGTTCATAGAGCTAAAAGGGCATCTATTTTTTATTTGATTTTCGAAAGTTGATATTTTTTCAACTAAGTTTTTTTTTAATGTTTACTTGCGTTCATCACTCTTCCAATCTTTGATTGGCTATGTTTTTTTTTGCTGCATAGCATTGACATTTTAATAGCATATATTCTCTATTTTATTAGTGACTAAGATTCCAGTGGCTTATGTCTGTACGTCTTCAGTGCTTGGGTGTCCGAAGACTGAAGTTCGAATCCCGAGGTCAATTTTTCTCAAAACGCATAATTACTTCATTTTTTGCGTTTTTCTACTTTTTTAACACCTTTTAAAGCTACTTCTTGCCTCTTTTTGCTTTTGTTTGCAAAGTTTAGCTTCGCCTGTGTTATAATTATTAGCAAGTGTTATCAAAACGGAACAAGGATTTTTTTGTCAATTTAACAATTGTTGATTATGCGCATGTAGTGCTCAGGGCAGGGGCGGATCTAGGATTTTCTCGAGGGGGGGGGGGGGGGGTGGGGCGGATTTTCAAAAAATTTTCCAAAATTTTGACGACCTTTTTTTTTTTTTAGGTCGACCAAATTGATTTTTAGAGCTCTCCTAAAGCACTGTTTTGCCCCTACTTTGGCAAAATTTTCTGCGCCGCAGGCAAATTTTTGAAAAAACAGTCATAAAAGCCGTTTTCGGGCAATTTTTGAAAAATTTTGACAAAAAAATCGCGTTTTTTTTGGCGCGCGCTCCCCCTCAAAGTTAGTATATATTGGCGCCAAAGGCGCCTTTAGAAAAATTTTAGGGTCGGTCGGCCGAAAATGGATTTCTGAAAAAGTATCAAAGGGGGGACCCTTTGGGTCGGCAGGGGGTCGAATCCCTGAGGGGGGGGGCGTCCGCACCCCCCGCCCCCCCCCCCCTAAATCCGCCCCTGGCTCAGGGTAATGCCTTCTAAGGAGACAAAGAAGTGGGTTAGAGTCCCACCAGTATCTGTACTTTTTGCAAACTGCTAATTTTCAGCTTTTTAATAGTCAAACTTTGAACCGTCGCCGTTATTTCTTTGTAGTCACAGTTTCTGAAGCACGTTGTTTTGCGAAATTCTTCTCCAAATTGACCAAATTGTTAAAATTTTCGTTTTGTCCCATCATTTGGTCAAAATCATAATAAATTTATGAGTGAAGATTTGTCTTATCGCTAATTTTTTTTCTGATTACAAATCTCTGAAAAAGATTTTATAATTTTTGATAAATGATGCATTCGTGGTTGAATATGTCAAATGAGTCTATGGACAATGCGGAGTACATGGAAATTTTCTGGCTTGTTACTGTATCGCAAACCAGTGGCTCGAACGTCAGATTCGCCTCTTTTTCACAAGATTTTGTGGCTGAATTGTATGCCGGTCAACAGGGTAAGAGTGACTGTGCTGGTGTTTTAGGTTGTGTTCTTCATTGCTCAAGCAATTCTCGTGTTCTCTCCCAGCAGCTCACTAGTGGCAGCAAAGCCACGTGCCTACAAAGTGAAGACACATTGGATATTGCATCTGTGTGGAGTAACCTCAGTCATAATAGGAGCTGTCATCATTTATGTCAATAAAGAACGGGCGGGGAAACCTCACGCAAAAACCTGGCATGGGTTTTTAGGCTACACCAGTGTCTTTCAGTTTTGTTCACACTGTATCGCAGGACTGTTTGTTATGTACCCAGCCTATCTCAAAAGCTTTTTCACGCTCGCGCAACTGAAGCAATTACACGCTACAATCGGTCTATTAGGGTTCTTCCTAGCAGCTGGAGTTGTAATTTTGGGCCTTTTTTCCGACGCATTCACGAAAGTTGTGGCACACGACGTTGGCTGGTTTGCATTTGCAAGTGTGCCTTTCATTCTGGCTATGGCTATCGGAAATCAAGTCACAACTGCGTATGGTCCGAAGAAAGTGAAAACTGAGAAAAATACTCTAAAATGAGAACTTACTATCTTATTGAGTACAGAAGATTTCACATTCTACTTGATTAACTTAAATAGTTTAAGCCAACTGTTGGAAATTGGTGTATGATTTTCTGTAAAGATGCTGCATCAAAAATTGTCCTAGCATAATAAATGTTTTACTGCAATTATGCTTTTTGGCCGATGCTGCCTTTGGTTCATGTTATCCTTCCTTTGTATGTAGAAATATGAATTTTTTTGAAAAATATAGATTTTTTTTTTCAGATAATTAAGCTTAAATTTTCCTCAAATGCTGATTTTTATTGCAAGTTATAGAGGTCAGACCTAGACCGGATTCAATTTCATTTGGTCATCCTTGCAATTGGCATCGGTATTGCATCGAGTACTGGATTTTTGCCGTTAGAATTTTTGTCCCCAGGATGGATGATCACAGCTATGTGCTTTATAATGGCTTTTTACACTTGCGAGAGCAAGTGTCTTGTAATCGGTAACTACTACCCGTAAAAACCTTTCTAATATATCTTTTGAGAAATACGTATATCTTTTGAGATATAAAGCTTGTGTTATAGTATAAACTCTTTTTTTCCAACCTAAGTCGCAAATATTGTTGCGATGCAATTGTCGCGACGAAATGTGTTCATTTTGAAAGTGTCATTTTGATCCAGCTATTAAGTACAGCCAATGCGAAGGATATTAACACAGGCTACTATATTACAAATAGCACTTTAGCTTCAAGGTATCATGGATCTGTAGCGTAGACGTAGGGAAGGAGACCCGCAACAAAATAAGAGGGTTCGAACCTGGGCAGCGTCGGATGTTTCTAAGAACTTTTTCGTATACTAGCTTAAATGCTTCCGCTCCATAAATTGAGGCATGTTAGTTGGCAATTTTTATTCAAATTGACTGGTACTGCTAATGTGCCATAATTGGCTAGCGTCACTTAGCAATTTTGTAGACTCATAATTGGCGTGCGTCACTTAAGAAATTTTGTAGACTCATAGTTTGGCTCATTCAGTTTTCCCCAGTAGCGTTATCGGTCATAGTTTGCTTGTGTATGCGAAGTGCAGCTTCACCTCTGTGTTTTCGCGTGCTGCCATGCTAAATTTCTTGCCAATTCAAATATAACTACCGTAATAGAGTCCTCATTTAGTATTAATTATCCTTATTTGGTAGTAATCATTTTTTTCAAACAACTTAATAGAAAAAATCATGTTTTTTGGATTCTTTGTTTTTTTACCCTTGTGATAAGCAAGAATATTGCAATCGGGTACTAGACTTTTTTCCCGTTAAAAACTTTGTCTAAAGAATGGTCAATTTTAGTAGGAATGGTAAATTTCACGACTGCAGACTGCTGATATGCTCAATTTCTTGAGAATTCAAATAAAACTACAATAATTTATGTCATTTAGGTAGTAATCAGGGAAAGTTCGTTTCAGGTAAAAGCTTCTTTACAAATAAAGTTCTTGAAAAAAGATGTTATTTGTGTTCGTTGTTCTTCTTCCTAGTTTCTGTCGACTCATTTTCCTTTTTTTTAAATTTATGTTGAAATTTATTATGTTGACATTTTCATGTTGTTCAATTTTAATCATTAGCTGCGGTCGACGTTACTGTATCACTATAAAGATTTTAGTTGTCCAAGGCCTCACAGTTGTATGAAAAAGCAGAGTTGACTCCTCTACTGTTTGTACTATAAGCCTTTTAGTTCTTTTTGTTAGCGAAGATTTCCAGAACCACCTGATTTTTACTCAAGCCATGTTTCTTTTCTTAATTCTAGCGCTCACGTCCTCCTTTTTTTCCTATCATAGTTCCCAGCATTCTTGTGTGGTCTGCTACCACGCCATCGAACTCAATGATATCATCCTTTCCGTCATGGCAGGTTTCTTCAAATTGTTTCATCTCCTCTTTGATAATCTGCTTTCCTTCTTGTAGCTCTTTGAGCCAATCTATCAAAGTTGTGTCGTCAGCAAATAGGGGTTGGTCAACGATAAACTCGAGCTGCTTTCTACTGTTTGCTTTTAGTTGATACTTGGAAGGCTTTCTTCGGGTACCCACGGTCATTTCAGCCCAAATTGGCGTCCTCGCTCTATTGCTTTTGTTTCTCTTGCCTTGTTGGCCTTTTTCATGGCCCTTTTCAAGATAAATGTTGAACAAAATGAGGGATATTCCTCATCCTCTTCTAGCCAGGAGCCAGTCTTCGCTCATACTTTCTCTGCCCGTGACTTTGTATCTTGTGCTTTCGTGGAGCCCTTTGAGAATGATGAGATTTTCTTCCGGCATACTCAGTTTCTTTAGGAACTCCCACATGATGGGTCCGTTTACGCGTGAATAAGCATTGCGTATGTCTAGCAGAGCTGCTCCGGGACCTCCCATTATGCTATTCTCTGAGTACATCCAGCTGCTCCGCCCATTGTCTGAACCTGGATGCTAATATTGTGGCAAGCAAATGACTGATTAGGAGAAGAAGACATACGCCACTGTAGGTGTCTAGTTTGTATTAAGCCCCTTTTTATGTAAGGGGATTAACCAACCTTCCCTGGTCTGCTCGCGCGACTGTTGCGCCGGTGTTTTTTCAATATTTTCTGACGCTGTGAAACCTACTGCTCTCGTTTAAGTATTTAACTTTTTTATGGCACTAACCTTTACGTTTTCTATTCCTAGGGCAACGTGCTTCGTTTTGGAGACCTCGATTTCCCTTAACGTTATATGCGCACCCTGGGTTTACGTCGCTTTTAGGGCTCTCTCGTCGTTCTTTTTGGTTGTTGGCTATGCTGTTTTCATGATTTCTGCCATGTTCGTCTTGTATCTAGCGAGATACTTGCGAGAAGATTTCGCAAAACTCATTTGGCTTGAAATGCTTATCCTCGATGTTTTTCAGGTCTTCTATTCCTAGGGATCTTAGGTTTGAATATAGTATTATGGTGTCTCCGATGTCTGCGACTATTTTCAACAATCAGTCCTGCTCCCTGGATTCCTTGTTATTTTTGTATCTTTTCTGGATCTCTTTCCTTTCCTTTCCGGTCTAATTCTTTCTTCCTCTTTCTCTGATGTTGTTTCTTTTATCAATTTAGTTGCTCTTTCAATATGCTTCATGAAATTGTTTATTTTGAACCTTATGTGTATCCAGAGAAGGGCTGAGATTTTTCTTTTCCGTGCTTCCGCACGAATCCATTGCCGCCTTTCGGATTGTTTTAGCTTCCGAATCCATTCAGATTGGGATTTCACTTCTTCCTCCGTAGCCATTTGAAAATAACGTTGGGTCTCTTCCCTCAATTTTTCCCAAGCCACCTTGGGAGATCTATTTCTATCATCATATTTGATAGGTTTCGTTTGCCTTTCTTCCAGCATTTTAGTCCTTTTGGTCTATGGTCGGAGAGATTTCCTTCCGGTTTCAACTGTTTTCACGTCCTTCAGCCGACTTCTCTGCTGTTTCCTAAAGGCAGAACCCATCTAATTTGTGCCATTTGGCCCTTGCCGGACATTTTCAGAAAAATCGTTTCGATTTGAGATAGACACCAGCCCTGTGAATGTTCCACGTCTATATGCTTTAGGTTTCTTTCCCGTGCTCTTTTCTCCCATTTTTCTTTTTGCTTTATTTGTCGTCTCATTCTTTTTGTATCTTCCTCTTTTCTGTCTGGGGGACCGCACATCTGCCGCATATGCAGTCCGAATTGTGGTGTTTTATGCGCTTCAAGTGCGTGCAATTCATAGGTAATCACCCTCCTCTGTGGCACCATATATTGAATTGCTTTTTGTCATTTATTGCCTCCTTGCATATTTGGCACTTCGAGGAGTTGAAGAGAAAGACAAAGATGAATCATAATTTAATTCAAGTCAAAGTAAATTGATAACAAAAACAAATTACAGAAATAGGTAAGGACTTGAAAAGGGTAGATAACGAGATTAGTTGATCTGCTCTCGGTTCACCCTGTGCAACAACAGATTCAGCAATAACGTTTAATTTGAAAGTAGTTATTAAAATTCATTGAACGTTTCTTAACATCTATTCACGCATAAGTTTGATTTATCAAGGTTTCACTTCTGATTTTTTACCCTTGCCATCAACAAGGGCGTTTCAAACGGCTAGTATACTTTTTGCCGTTAATAATTTTATTCACAGAATGATCAATTTGGTAGGAATGGTAACTCAGGACATGCCCAATTTCGTAATTAAAGCTACCATCATTTCGTAGTAATCTATTATATATTTAAATGCGGGCTTCACTATCTCGCCATGTTTAAGCTTTTTCAACGTACTATTTTTGCATGTTTAAGCTATATCGTATATTGCAATGGTTAAGAATTTTTTTCGATTTTCCAATTTGATTTTAGTGTTTATTTTACCGAGTTTAAATTAAGCAGCCCTATATCTTAGGGGTTGCGAATTTGGCCTCCAATTTTGAATGCCCGAATCAATTTAGTTAACGAGATAAGACAATTTTTGAGATTTTTTCAAAAATTTTCAGAAATTTCAAATAAATTAATTTACAAAACTTGGAAGTTCCCAACCCTGTAGTTGGGTACTGTCAGAGTACTCTAAGAGATTACAAACCTTGCCTCCAAACATGACTGTTCGAATCCTTGTAGTTTTCGAGATATGACGTTTTTTGTGATTTTTCAAAAATTTTCAGAAAACTTAAATTATTATGATTTTTTTAAAATCTGAAATTCCCAACCCTGTAGTTGGGTACTGTCAAAGTACTATCAGGGATTGCGAATCTTGGCTCCAAATATGACTGCTCAAATCCTTGTAGTTTTTGAGATATGATGTTTTTTTTTATTTTTTCAAAAATTTTCAGAAAAATTAAATATTTCTCAAAATTTGAAATTCCCAACCTTGTAGTTGGTTGCTGTCAGAGTACTCTAAGGAGTTAAAAATCTTGCCTCCAAATATGACTGTTCAAATCGTTCTAGTTTTTGAGATATGACGTTTTTTTTGAATTTTTCAAAAAAAATTTCGATAACTTATATCAATTTTTTTTTTGCAAAATCTGAAATTCCCAGCCCTGTAGTTGGGTCCTGTCAGAGTACTCTGAAAGATTGCGAATATTGCCTCCCAGTATGACTGCTCAATTCTTTGTAGTTTTTGAGATATGACGTTTTTTGTGATTTTTTTCAAAAATTTTCAGAAAACTTAAATTATTATTATTTTTAAAAATCTGAAATTCCC